CACCCGATCCGACGTTCGCGAACGGAGGCAAAATTTTGCGAACGGAGCTGTTCATGACCCAAATTGGTCGTGAACAGAAGCGTTCATGAACTGAGGTACCACTGTATCTCTTCAGATGTTGGTGATTTCCAGCTCCATGAACTCTAGTCAGCATGGACAATAGTGAAAGATGATAGGAGTTGGAATCCAGAAATATCTGTAGGGCGGCAGATTGCCCACTGCTCATGCTGGTATATGCTGTGGTACGCTGGGATTATAGTTTCTTCTTTTTGACTGACGTGAGGGACCATCAATTTTTGGTTTTTCCTCTTTTTGATCTGGGTTTATTCCAACTCTACCATGTCACAATGCAACCCACATGTACAAGCCCTTGGGATGTGGTTCTTTCCTATGCCAGTGTTGTGCTCAGGTATGGGGAGGGGTAACACTCTGCATGGGAAGGAATCGCACTGTATTCTCCATTCATGGAACTTTGAACTTCCAGTGTTACTGGAGTGCAGAAGAATATCCTATTACTGTAGCAGTAGTAGAAGGAGGCACAGTGCTTTGAGAGAACCACGAAAGTAATTTTGCTAATCCAGGTTGCCCACTGTTAAATCCTCCTAGCAGGTCCTCAGCTCTACCTTTGTCTATCTCCAACTCTGCTATTGAGTGATTAGAGTGCTCAGGTATGGTCATGAAGGCCACAAAACTTGGGAATTATATACTGATGGCTTGGGAGGAGCTGGGAAGAGAGTCAAACTGGGTCCAGAATAGGGAACACTAAAACCAGGATATATTTTATGCCCAACACAAAATAAGAATGCCATCTCTGTGGCTAACTGTTCACTCTGTAATAACATTTAGAAGGTTTTATCACACAGATTATCTTCATTAGATTGAGATGAGCAAGGCCCTCTCTGCCATGCGTCCTACTATTTTTTGATGGGACATGACAACTTCCAGTTGCTCTACTTGGCAAAAGCTTTTCAAATCTCATCAGAGGGTAAGCAAGTCTTTCCTTGGCAGCAGTTCTGTGGTTGGCAAAAATATATATGTTTATCAGAAATAAATGGTTGCAATCACTTAAATAGATAGTAGCAATAATCTCCAAGTTTAATGTTCAAAGTACAGTACAAATATTTAGGTAGTGCTTATAGCAGCTGGAGAAATATATGGAAGGGACGAGGAGAATGCACTCCCAAAAGTTTTTTCATAATGTTTTTTTTAATGTTTTATTAGTCCTTGTTTATCTTCTATTTACTTTTTGTATCTTTATTCTTGACTTCTGTTTAAATAATTTGTCACAGCTTATTTTTCCAAACAAACAGAACATTTGTAGGAAGGTACTAAATCTCCAGGGAAAAAATGGGAAAATCATCAGGAAGTCTATAAATATTCCGTTCTCATGTTTGCTACTTCTTCCATTTAACATTGATGATTATCCCTTCCTTCTTTAATTTCCCACACCCATTTATTCCTTAAAGTCCCTTTTCTACATATTCTGGGTCTAATATTTCACTTATAACATGCATATCATTTAAAAGAGACAAAAAGAATTAGTTTCTCACCTATCAATACTGAGAGCACATAAACTTAACACTATGATGCCGACTGACGTCTTTTGAAAGAAGGGGAACAATTTACATAATTCAATTCCAAAAGGCCATTTTGCTGCATGAAGCTGTGGAGAGAAAACGATGCGGTTTACGTGCTGTAAACTTGCTAAGCATTCCAAAATTTAGAATAGAAGGAAAACACATGTGAACCAAATCTTATGCTAAACATTTCCAATTCTTGGAAGCTTAACCTTGGCATCTGAAAATATGAAAATTATTTTAGAAGTCTAGAAGATCCTAGGCTTTTCTTAAAACAACACCAGCTGTTCAGAATTATTCTTTTGCAGTACAAAATATCATACATGTATTGGGCTTAACCTGGCGAGATCTACTCATACAACAGTCACTGGGATTTACATGAATCTCAATTAAGATCTGTATCACAAATCTGATTGGCTGAAAAATGTTTATAATATGTGTGGGAAGGGGAAGCTATGCATCCACCAATACAAGGTCTTCTGTTGCTGTGAGGGAAGCGCATTGGCCCAGTGCACTTAACTTCCTCCCTTGGCTTTTGAAAAGCGACGTAATGGCGTTCTCAGATGGCTCTTCACTAAGAAAGCGGAAGATGGAGGCGGGATTGATTCTGGAAGGCCAGGTCCTAACTTTTTGGCAGAACCAAACACCATAGCTCCTCATTCTCCATCCATGGATTCTTCTGCTGCTGATACAAAGATCTGGCCCTCCAGCACCAGCAAAACTCCATACTGACTCCAAGGGCAGAGGGATGGAGAGGTGCTGGGTTGTGTAAAGACCAACATGGGGGCAATGACCTACCCCCATCGTTTATTGCTCCTGAGTAGTGCATGTTTTGCAACTAGCAATAAGCAGTGCTAACTTAGGCTGTGCAGTGCACTGCTTTGGGTTTAAAAGGAAAGAGTGCTAGGGCATCCATGTAGAGTGTGGACATCCATGTAGTATCTGGCAGCGACTCCTTAAACCAAATGTGTCTTTTCCTAGGAACATATTGCAGCATGGGATACCGCCTCCCTGCCATGCAACTGCTTTATAGAGTTGCCAGCAGATGCAATGGGAGTGCTCCATGTGCCTCAAATACCTTTTCCTCTTCATATTCATAGTATTGTACAGTGCCTAGTAGTAAATATACTGGCAGATGGGTGAGGACCTTTCATATTTAAGATTCTGTAAGAAAACAATTACATACTGGGATACATTCTATGATAGCTTGTTCTAGTACAGTACTACCTATGTTTTACTTTCAAGACTTGCCTGACAGTCTAAACTGTCCTTTTTGCCTGGACCTGATGACATGGCATAGTGTGTATGTTGAATCTTTGGACTGTAATAACAATTCCATTGTAAGAGTGTCAGCTTTGTTCAGTAATATCAGCCCTAAACTACTGTAACGATTCCATTCTGATACTGTCAAATTTGTAATAACAGTCTTGAACATAAATACTTTGGGACATGCCATGGAAGAGCTATGTGACTTTGACACATGTGTTTGGTCCTGCATAATGTGTACAGCTGTGCACATTTCAAGGATGATTTGGAAGACTTGCTTTGGACCTTGCATAAAGGTTAAAGTTGATGCAACTCTTAAAGCAGTGACACCATTTTTTTCCCAGAATGCTGAAATGAGAGAGCAATGCTGTGATCATGCTAGTTTCAAATAACTTCTGAATAATTGTTGAAGGATACACAGTTTTAGATTATGCTATTTGTGAAGTGGGCTTCTTATTACATCGGTTTCTCCTCCATGTGCAATTTTCCACATGTCAATTAATATAACTTAACTATGGTTATAACTGTTGCTGATTAATTGCTATGATGCATGCTTGGTGAAGGACAGATAGCAATTTCAAAAAAGACTGGATGACCAACTGGATGATACAAATATTAACAGTTATTAATTAGCAAGCTGGCACATGTTCTCTAAATCCCAATTCCTGAAGTTCTCCTAATACAGCTTTTCTCCAGTCCAGCACCCTTCCGTTGTTTTCAACTGCAAATCCACATTTCCCATCTCTCATGCTAACTGGAGATTATAAGAGTTGACATTCAATACCTCTGGAGGGCACCAAGTTAGGGAAAACTGTTTTAAGACATTAAGCCTCAATAAAAGGAAAATAAAATGGGGCAATCATATAATCATGATCCAAATACAAATTAGATTAAATTAACAAACAAGATGCAATCAAGATCAGCTAGAACCTATTGACCTGAGAAAAGACAAGAACAGTACTTTTCAGTCTTAACATCCTTACCATCTTGTAAGATCAACAGGGAGAGAATATTTGGACTTAGCAAACGGAGACGACAAATATCAAAGATGTACCTACAGTGATCCTGACACTGTTAAAATATAGGATTGTATAATGCTTCAGAGCATGAAGGAACATGAACAGAGCACCTGTCTGCAACTTTTTAAGGCAGCTGCTACTTACCACAGAGCATGCAGCTGCCCTCCAGTTTCCACGTGATCCCAGAAAGTACCCTAACTACTTTAAAGACTTGCAGACAGAGGCCATGTTTACTGCCCCTGGATGCTCGTAAGCACCTTTATGGAATTCAGTCTGAAGTATTGTACAGCCCTAAAGGACACAGAGGTTGCCCAATATTTTTGGCTCCTAGTAGATTGGCTTATGCAGTATAGTAGTATAATAGCTCACAGAGCTTCTCCTCAGTTGAGTTTCCAAAACTGCACCAAGGAATTAGGTCACATGCTGAGTTTTATCTTTGTACTGTATTTGGAAATGATACTGTATTCATGTTATGGGCTCTATAAATATGTCAAGAAGCTCAAACAAATAGCCACAAAGATTAATACATGCTTGGGGGATGTATAGGAATAATTTGAAAAAAGAGAGCAATGAAATTACTTTAAATATATGTAAAAGGCGCAGTATACATTTATGTCACCTGACTGCTAACCATCAGCATTGATCTATACAAATGTGAAACAGCAGATTTAATTAATCCAGGAAATATAAGGCAGGGAAATCCAAGCCTTTTAATGATGCTATTGATCTATCGTCTTATCAAGGCTTTAGCAGGAACTTAATATAACATAAATACAGGATTCAAGCTAGCATTGCAAAATCTGTTATTCTATAATTGTATGCCCTTCTAATCCACAAGGAATAAACAATTACATTACACCATTTACTAAACTTTTCAGAAAGAGCAGCCAATGACCCAACTGGCCTAGAACTGCTTCACCAAATGTTGCACTCTCAATTTGCAGTCTCTTAAGATATTTAGGGGAAAATATCACCTTGCACCCTAACCTGAAATGCACTGTTGCAAACTAATCCAGAGATCAAAAGGTTTTAAAATTCAGCACTAGATAGGCATGAAGGAAAATGGGAGACAGGCACAAGGAATCCCTAATCACTAGTGGGGACACCATGGGGAATAATTTGGCAGCAGCCATGCAGAAAGGAGGAGGTTAAAGTAATTCCAGATAAACTTTGCTAACGACATGAATCTAGAGGACAGGGAAGGGCTTTGATAAACAGATATGAGGCTGCTGAAGGCAAAAGGCACAGAGACAGAGAAAGGAGGAGATACGAGGAACTGACAGCAGATAAGTTTGTTTGGAGGGGAGTAAGAGATAATAGAAGATTTAAGAGCTATGAAACCCCTGAAGAAGTCAAGCAAGGCTTCATCCTGAAGAATAACAAATACCAGTTTCCTAGTGAATGTAGCTTAGCTTAGAATGACCACTAATTTGAATTTCTTAGGAGTAAGCTCTCCTGCCTAATACTTGTGTTCAGGTGTGACAGGGACACTCTTGTTTTAGGTGTATGTGCCTTTCAGAGTTTGAGTCTGTAATTGGTCTTTTTTGAGATTTTGCTGTGACCCCAAAAAATCACAGCAGCTTGAAAGAAAGGAAATCTGAAAGACTTTTAGAACTGAGCAGAGAATACAAATACAGTGGTACGCCTCTACTAACGAACATTTCGGGTTACGACCAGCTTCGGCAGGAAAAATTTACCTCGG